CAGCAACCTCAATCTCTTGGGCTCAAGCAATCTCCTGCCTCAACCTGAGTAGCCTGGACTATAGATGCCCACCACAACACCTGGCTAATTCTTCTATTATTTTTTAGTAGAAACAGACTCATTCTTGCACAGACTGGTTTCTAACTGCCGGCTGGGCTCAAGCAATCCTCCTGCCTCTGTCTCCTAGAGTGCTAGTATTACAGGCCTGAGCCACTGTGCCTGCCTTCTTTGCCCATTTTTAATTGGATTGTTTTGGGGGTTATAATAACTCTTTATGTATTTTAGACACAAGTCCCTTAAAAGATATAATTTGCAAATATTTTTCCCAATCCATAGGTGCTTTTTTCACATTTTGTTGCTGTCCTTCGAAAAATGACCACTTTAGGCTCAGCGCCTGTGGCTCAAGTGGCTAAGGTGCCAGCCACATACACCTAAGGTGGCGGGTTTGAATCCAGCCCGGAAACGCCAAACTATGACTAAAACAAAAAAAAAAAAAAAAAAGCCGCACATTGTGGTGGGCGCCTGGAGTCCCAGCTACTTGGGAGGCTGCGACAAGAGAATTGCCTACGCCCAAGAGTTAGAGTTGGCCATGCACTGTGACGCCATGGCACTCTACCCAGGGCAACATAGACTCTTGTCTCAAAAAAGAGAGAAATGGGTTTTTTTGCTGCTTCTGGATTAGACATTAAATATCACATGTCAGTGTTAAATATATATAAACTAGATCAATTTAGAATATTTGTAGTTTTTATTGCCTGCTAAATAGAGGAAATCCAGTTTTAGCTCTGGTTATTATTTATTGGTGATAAAAAGGAAAATTTACATACTGTGCTTACATACTAGTATATTTAATGCCAGATTAACCTGAAACTCACTTTTAATTTATGTGCTAACGTAGTAACTTAACCTGAAGTGGTTACATACGTAATTTTTTTTTTCTGCTTCATATATCCCTAGCTGAAAGCAGAAACTAATTTTTAGTGCCCTATAGAATATACATTTTACGTTCTCCATATTCCCTAGTTTGGTTCCTTTACCTCTAAGTTTTTTTAATTGGGGAAAGATTTTTCTTTTTTAAGACAAAAATCTCACTGTGTTGTGCAGGCTGGAGTGCAGTTGCTATTCACAGACAGGATCTTAACACATTTTAGCTTAGAACTCCTGGTCTCAAGGGATCATCACTCCTCAGCCCCAGTAACTTGCTTTGAGAAAGACCTCATGCACTTACGGTAATGATCAAATTGTCCTATAAATGTATTTTTCTATGTCTTTATTTTCATATAGGACACAGGTATATCAAAATTAGATATCTTCCCCTCTTTATAGTAGTAGATGCTTGCAGTTATTTCTAATAAAATATTTTTACATTTTACCTATACATTTTTTATATGTTAAGATGTTTAAGATAGGCTCTATTGTTTTATTATTCAGAAAAACATGTAAGATGACAAAGTAGGATAAGAAAAATTCAAATTTAGAGATTTATTTTTTAGCAAAATTATCTAAAATCTTTTCATCAGCACCTTCTTTTACATCTTGAAGTAAAGCTAGTGGTTAATCCTGCCTACACATAGCAACTGGCCAGATCCACTGTTAAAATGTTTTTTTAAATACTCATTAGGATTTTAAATGTAGATGTATTAAATTTTGATACAGACATACTAAGTATATTTTACTTTTCAGTTAGTATAGTGTCATTTCTGCTTAGAAAACTACAAGAAGTGTATCCATGAAAGATAAATTTGAATT